AAGCCAAGACTTTGTGTCATCATATATGTAAACCAAACCCCGACATACAGTTTCAGTGTAATGAGAAGGACAGAGGATACAAAAGTAATAAAGCAACTTTAGTTATGCTGTAAGAAAACCAAAAATCTCCCCTTGTCTGAGAATTCAAGGGAAGATTCTGAGAAACCCATCCTAGACAGCAGACAGACACCAGGTAAAAAGTTTGGCCCACGAATCATGCAGCTTTGTTCTTCTTAGGCAAATACTGCAACTTCATCACAATTGCGTTTAACGTCTGCTAACTGCCTACACTCAAGAAGGTATTTCGGTATGGAACTGAAGTAAGAGTGATTTGTAAGCAGTGCAAATATGATTCCTGATACGAGAGAGGATGTGATTTAAAACCTCTTTTATCTCCTGTTGGCTATGGGAGGCAGATTCTGCCTAAACAAGCTGGTGTTATTGGGTACTGTTCATCCAAATTCCCCCTTCTAGCATATGTATGTCATTCAGATCCTAATTGCACTAGATGGGTGTTCAGTGCTGAAATGCCCTTGTGGATCTAGCTGCTTAGCATCAGCCTCTGCTAGAATTCAGTATCTGCTTTAGATACCTCCCAGTGAAAATTTTGCCCAGTCTTCAGTTTTCAGTTACTCTTTATTTCCAGTGCTAGTATTAATTCTTGTTACTGTTGCGTTACAATATGTTACATCTTGAACAAAGAAACAAACAGGTCACTGCTGTGTATTAACAGAAGTCTAACTGATGATGTTTTTTCTTCAATAGCACTTTTTTGTTCACTCAACTGTATTCCACTCGCTTTTGTTAGTTAGCATAAGAAGGAAATCTGAACCAGTCAATGCAATAATACTAAGATGACAAGCAGGCAATTTACTTTGCACTTGCTTTTGATCTTAAACATAAAAAGAATCTGAGAGATGTATGCACTCAAATTTAATTTATTCATTTCAGATGTTCTTCTGAAGTAATACTGTCAAGTTGCTAGCAACCCCTCCCCATCCTCTTATTTTTTCCTAAACTCTGTGACAAAAGAACAGTGTCCTGGCAGGCCTCATTCTTATAGCCTACTTTAAGGTACCCTCAGGTCAGTTAAATGCATCCAGCTATACACAAAAAGGTACAGTCTCTTCCCACTACCAAAAAAAAAAAAAAAGAGGTAGAGCAGCGATTTGTTTTTAATCCCTGGTTTCTGAAATAGCAGTTGGGAAAAGCTTTGATATAAAAGCTGTATGAAATACTAAAAAAACTACTGTGTAAATAAATGTCCAAAGGATTGCACCTTCACAAGCATTCATTATTTTGTTTTTTATGAAATACATAGTGATTTGAATTTAAATGTGACTGGAGGTTTCACAGTATCCATTAACCAAAAAAAGCAGGATCCATTACTGCAAGACGCTATACATACATAATGGATTATTCATTAAAAGAAAAAAAAAAGGGATTAAAATCAGAATAAAGTAAAAAACTGTGCAGATAATTACTATAAAAAAACCCCAAAACAAATCACACACACACTGTCTCTGTGATCATCATCGTCTGATGTCAGACTGCATAACAATACAACAGTTACTGAGTATCTGTTAGGGGAAAAAGGCCTGAACCGCCAAATTCATTTTTTATCAGAACAGGACTGGAAGCCAGAGACTCAGAATGGGCACCATCTTGTTGGATACCAGACTTGCTCTGGAAACACCTAAAACCATGCCTGCACACCAAACATGAGTTTTCAGAATCAATTAATCTGAAAAAAAATCAGTGTCTTTGTAGAAAAAGGTTTAAATACAGGAATTGATTCTGATGTTAGTAAACCAAAGATGTCCTCCTGCCAGTATGCAATTTACCATCATTTTCTGATCAAGCACAAAAAGTCCTTTTTAGTTCTGATCTAACAAAGCTGAATCTGAAAGACAAAAAGATTTGCTGTTTCCAAAGATCTGATCATAACTCTCTTTCCCGGTAGAATAATGCATTCCTACCAAATAATGAAATACCTATTATGGTACAAATTCTGTGAGCCCAAAGCAGCCTATTTAGCATAAATAATTCATGACATAACAACCAACCAGAACATGGATTGTTCAAGAGTCATCTGAAGAGATGTAATACTTACATATGTTGATAAGCCTTAGACTCTTTGTTAGCTTGACCATGAAACGAGTTAATAAATACTTTGTTTTTATGCTAATTCACACACTGCATTATGTCACTCCAGACTGTAAGGCTACACAGTGGCTTTGGCAAGGCAAGAGGTTAAGTGCTGAGAAGGGTAATTAATAGCTCATGTAATTCAGCATGCTACCTTTGATGCTATCTGTATGTTCATTCATAAGCAGAATCTTTAAAGCACAACTCACTTTTAAAAAATTTCAAAAAAAATTCATATTTTAATTTGGAAACCTTTTTCCAAGTCAAAAACATGGTATGAACACTTTGCTCATGGTTTATATTGCAGACATTTCTCAACAGAAAATTCAAAAAGACTGCTGAAGACTTTTTTCCCCCTCCCTTATTTCCAGTGTTGCTTTGTAAAGCCAGCTCACCAAATAGGTAGTCATTGCAAGAACTTCAGCAAGCTCTTGTCGATTTGCGTCTTTCTCAGTTTAACAGCTCTGGTAAGATGGACAATTTTTACCGGCATTTCCATTTTCTCTTTTTCTCTTGGTTCTCTCTTCAAGCTTTGTGAACCAAACCAGCACGCTGTATTAAAAAGGGCTTTTCTTACACAGATGGTGTAATGGGTACTGTTAAACTGGCCTAATAAGGAAAGAGATCTAAACAAGTGTCTATTTGCTTTGGATGTTTCAAGGAAAAGATTGGTACAGAAAGGGATGACCAGGCCAACCAGGCTCAGGAGCAACTGCATGTATACAACCATCACATCCTCGCAGACTGCAGTAGCTCTGATTTAGAAGAGAATATTCTTTGTAATGATGACCATCTTACAGTACTTCTGAGTTCCCAAACAACCAAAAGCAGTATAATGTTCTGAAAGAAACTGAGTCCTATATGAAATACTCGCAACCTCTTTCAGGCCTGGTGATACGGAAAAAAATTTGAAAGAAAACTTTAGCTACCCCAGTGTTGTTAGCATGCTGTTGATTTTATTTCTGACAAGATCAGATGATTAAATATTTCATTACATGAAAAGAAACTACATACTGAATATCATGCAGAAGGCACTTCGTCTGTTAGCAGGAGAAGCTGAGGTTATTTTACAGAATTTTAAAAGTGCAGCATCTTCTTCCCACAAATTATAGTTTATCACTCAGAGAAATCCTTCTAAACAACAGTTCTGCAGCACCAGGGAAAAGGGTCAGCATGATTTTGACATAATTGCACTGTAAGAGAACAAAGGCATTTAGCTGTGTCTCATGGATAATTCCCCTCAGAGTGATTACATCCCAGTCTTAGCTTGTTGTGCAGTTGCAGTCCTGTAATTCCCAGACTCTTCTCCCTTACTTAGTACTCTGCTGCTGTTGTATTCTGTAGCATAGAAAAATGGAAGGATGTGGAAGACTGGGCATGTTTTCAACTCCATTTGGGGCAGGAAAGAAAGGGGACTATGGCCTGCCTTCTCTATGTGGACCAACAGACAACCACATCTTTTTCATTCAGTGTTTTCACCAGCCTTTCTGTTTAAGGAGTAGTTAAGTCATTATAAAATGTCTCTATTTTAGAAGTGAAATGCTAGCCAAGTCATCTTTTTGCTTTAGTAAACAGACAACAGGTATATTCCATAACATTATGCTACTGAACTGTAATGTGATTTTTAAAATTTTGTATTTTTTTCCCTTTTTCTCTGTGTTCTTTTCTTTTACCACATAAACACTATTATTAGAAATACAATGGCCGGCCTTCTATCCGTCCCCTCAGGCAGGACTGAGGGGAGAGAGTGGTTTCATGTGTGAGCAAGGTGGGGTGGCCATGTCCCTCTCCCTGTGGGAGAAATCACCCCTAGGCAATCAAGACCATATCTGTGTAGGGGCATTCAGGATAATCTGAGCCCGGCAGAGGTGACAGTCAGCATGCATAGGATGCATGGGCTTTCAAGGCCCTGGTTTAAAAAATAAATAAATAAAATCAAGTGTGCTCTTTGGATATCACTCAGAAAGCTTACACTGTTAAAGTATTGTCATAAGCATCAGCAGTCTTCCCACAGAGTGGTATTTCAGTAAAAATGAAAGGAGAGACTTGCTTTTTACTGGCAAGATTTCCTCTACCAAATTGTGAGTATTGTTGTAAGTCTCCAGCTTCTGGTAATCTGAGCTCCTACAGTAGCAGAGTTCAACAGCTTGTAAGAATGAAAGAACTGTAGTGGAACATTGTACATGACAATATTAATGAGATCTGAAGTGATAGTACACACTAGCTTGCTATATGAAAGACTAGGTAACAGGAAGAAATCTCCAATGCAACAGTAGGATTTTGTAAAATACATCTGTTTTCCTAACTTCTTAAGAAATTTTATGTTTGCTAGTTTAATTCGAGAAATACAGACTGAGCCCTAGTCTCAAAGGAAATCTGGTTGCAATGATTACAGAAATCCAAGTAGGTTAAAACAGGATGGAAAATAATGCACCCACATTTATCTTGAAATATTAAAAATAATTTCAGAAAGAAACATGCACCTAGAAAACAATTTTTCTCACACAATCAGATGATACCGGGCTGGAATTCAGACTTGAACTAGTTTAAATTCCAGGGGTGACTGACTCCAATTTCTATAATTACACTCACTTCCATAGCTTGCTTCCAAAAAACCCTGAATTCAGAAGAAACTCTTTTCCAACTCTAGTTCCCAACGTACAAAACCCATTTTGAGGCAGGTTTGCTGTGTCCAGAATGCGACTGCCTAGCCTCAGTTGGAAATCAAACTGCTCAACCCAGCACTACGAACAGTGTAAAAATATAGGAAGAAAATTATCAATATAAAAATAAATCAAAGAAAAGCAAGCAGATTTTCCAAATTAGGAAGAGAATGCCTGGAATAATCAGCATAGGCAATCAGTAGCATGCTTTATTTAGACTGAGCCTTCAATTAAATAAATGCTTTTCTCAGCAAAAGCAAATGAGACTGTAAGAGAACGAGAAGGCTAAATTAGTGCAATATGAATGACATAATAAATATGTAATGGGTACATACAGACCTTGCTTCTCTTCCCATTCACTCTGTAGAGAATTTTGGGGAAAAAAGTGGTTCTGGCTGAGCAATGAAATTTATCACATGGTCCAAATAATCACCCTTTAAGTGCTGATTAGTGAACTATTTTTTTACAGTAACTGCAGACATGAATCAATGGTCACTGCATTTCATTTACAAATTTATGGCTCTCAATATGGACTACAGGTGAAGTTCAAAGCAAACAAAAGGAGGCATTTCTTCACATCGCTGTGAAACATGAAAATCCCCCCCGCAGACCATTGTGAAAGTTGAGAGTTTTCAAAAATCAACTGAACAAATCTATAAAAGAATGACTAAATTGCACTATATTGATAACATTAATATGATACAGTAAGTCCCCGAAAGAAAAATTGTTGGAGATAGGAAGAGTATTTGGAAGAAATACTATTATGCACTTCGGTGTCTCGTGCTCTTCGCAAAGGTTTGGCTAGTAGGAGAAGCAGGAGACTGGGCTATAGGGATCATCATTCTGGTCTAGTTACTCTGCTTTTATGTTAGCTGTTCAAGTTTAATGATAAAATTAGGTTTAAAATAGAATTATGCTTATCTAAAAATCACTGCTTCACTGGCCAAACCTCTTGCTCAATCAAGGACTGAAGAAAGAGGATATACTAGCAAAAGCTGATCCTATATATATTTGTCCCCAAAACTGCAGGAGCTAGAGAGGAGCAGCAGTAGAGCCAAAATGGAAGCAAATAGGTGGAGAAGTTCTGTAAAGAAATGAAATTGTACTGAGTGAAAAACCTGAATGTTATCAACACTCTAGTACTCTTTCAGAGTTTTCATAGGCAGGAGAACAAAATAAGTAGTATCCAGGCGCAGGGAGATGCTATTGTAAGAGATGTGTGTGTGTGTGTGTGTACACCACACACAGGTATGTGTAGATACATATTTTTTAAAAGGCAATGTTTCTGGCAAATAACAACCATTTAAGTCACAAGAATAAATTGATCTTGAGCACTTCCCCTGGAGTATCAGGCACTAACTGGCTTTTCTTTCTTCCTTTCACTTGCAGCATACATCTGCTTTTTGAAGTGCTGAACGACGTGGTCAGTTCAACAGTAATACCTGTTCTCAGAACAATTTTGCACTCCAAAATGATGTTCTTTCAGCTTCCCTATAAGAGCACACATTAACCATAGGCATTTTTTGCCGTACCTTTTTTCTCCCCTGGGCAGGTGGTGTACATCATTTTTTCAAGACTCCAGTGCTACAAAGCGAATGATAATATTTAGTAGTCTTTGTAAACAAAATCTGTCCTGTGGAATTTAATTGATTTTATCTCATTGTAATTTGAGAGTGCTCACATGACCCCATTTGCCAAGCAGGTGTTACAGCAGCAAAGAAAGATGTGAAAGCATCAGTCACAGCACTGTTAACAGAACTGTTCAGTTGCTCAGGCAGTTCTCAGACTCTGTCCTCAAAAAAAAAAGCCCAATCATTTCCCACCAACAGAGCTCCAGTAGAAGGAAATAGTCCCACTGGTAAGTGTTGGCGATCATCACACTCCATTTCATAACCTCTTCAGTCAACCTTAAATAACAACATTCTAGAATTATTTTGTGTAGCTCTTTAGAAGCTTTGTGTTATCCTACCTTCTTCATCAGACAAGTTGTGTGAATAAAATAGAACTGAATAATTAGAATTTACAGCGCATAGCACCATAAGCATCTTAATAAAAATATCCCAGGTACTGTTGTTTGCAAACATGATCCTGCAAACCTGCAGGAAAACTCTTCCTTAAATTTGCTTTGTAGACTAAAGAATCCAGAGCTTGATGCAACTGGTGGTCAGTGGGTCTGTGTAAGTGGGAGACAAGATATTTGTGAAGTGTATCTATGTCAAAAGTATTTTTATATAGGACAACGCTGAATACAGCTATATAGAGAAGGATCTTAGTCTCACTTGTTTTTCCTATATATAATCAGAGGAGAAAAAACAGGCACCGCCAGAGGGTGATTCCAGATCACCTAATTAGAGTGCTGGTCTAAATAAGCCTTTAGAGGTGCTGTCTGTAGAAGGTCACTCTATACTTCACGTTAATTTTTGTGAATGCCTCTTCTGACCCTTCAGTGGAATTTATTTCCTGGTTTTGCTACTTTTTCCATTTGAAAGTGAAGCTTTCTCATAGACCCGACACAAACCCACAAAAATCCTGGCTTGTCATGTGCTCTAAGAATTGCAAAGCAGTTTTTATCAACCAGAACTACAGCCTAGTGGAAAAAACAGATTTCAAAAATTTATCTAAGAACAAATATTACTTAATATCGATACAGACTATACTAAATAAATGTATTTTGTACTTGCTGCTGAGTGTCTGGAAAAAAAGTCTATGGGGAACGGTCTTAAAAATCACTGTTCTTACACAGTGACATAGAAGATAGCAAATTTGGTCACTCTACCTGTACCATGAGTGCATAATTTGAGGTTGAAAGAGGTTGATCTAAATCACTTAAGTTGAGAGTTTTTAAATCTAAGTTATCTTAAATACTGACAAAGTGACACATAAGCAAGCACTGAGATTACTCACTCGGTGTATGGTGATCAAGGTCTCAATGGTAGGAAGAAGAAAATATTACTCCCTTGTCAATTTTGATTACACAACAAAGAAAATAATGAAACATAGCATATGTTGTCTGGTAAATTTTAGAAACAACAGCTTTCAGCACTCCATGCTTTAATTTTGTGCTCAAATATATCTCAGCTGTGGATGTTCAGAAAGCTGCTTCTTTAATACTACTCTCCTGTCATAACATTTCTAAGAGGAGAATATAGGTATCACACTCTTCTAATGAGTAAAGGTGTTAGAAGTTACAGCACCTACTATCACAAATATAATGAAAAAAATATGCCATTTAATAAAGTTAGGTTGTTATTTTTCCCCATATGTATAAATTAAGTATTTTTGACCACATCTGAAAAATTGCTTTGAATACATTTAGATGAACTTAAAACTTTTTAATTAAAAGAAGCTGGAGACTGCAGGGAATTTCCTTCTATATTTTATACCTATTATCTCATGGATGCAAAATCTCTCACCTAGATAGACCACCTATACTCTTCATCTCACTGTGAACCAAAAATTCTTTTCTCAACTTTGTTGGTGAAAAACCAGCTATTAATTTAGGTTTTATTCAACAGAGCTTTTAAACAATTTCAGACATCTGCTTAAATGTTTTAGTTCATTAGGGCCATTAAGAAACATTTATCACTATACTGTGTTAAGTAATGTAAGTAATTTCAGTGTGTCAGTGATGGTTCTCAGGACAAAAAAATCTTTAGAAGATTGACCATAGCTCAACAAAAATACCCATACTTCTCAGGTCATAGAAGAAAAAAAATCTTTAACATCCTAAGAAAATCATACTGGAATGAGATATGTAAGAAAAAGCATGTCTTCTATTACATAAATTTAAAAACTAATTTATTACTTAGGTTTATCAAAGACACATGACATGCAGACCTGATTTTTGGCTAGACCACTACCAGGATTCTTTATTTTCCCTACAAAACCTATTTATATCGGCCCTATAAAATTCTTAAAAGCTGAATATGCATTTCACGCAGCAGAGTCAATTGACTCCAGCAGATCTCACAAATGAGAATGCGGGTCAGCTCATTCACAGTTCTTGCACACAGGTTTTTTCTGTGCTTCGCTTCTGCATGTAGAGGAGACAGAGCTTTGACAACTGAGGCTAAGCTTCCAGAAGTTATACAATATATCGGCCCTATAAAATTCTTAAAAGCTGAATATGCATTTCACGCAGCAGAGTCAATTGACTCCAGCAGATCTCACAAATGAGAATGCGGGTCAGCTCATTCACAGTTCTTGCACACAGGTTTTTTCTGTGCTTCGCTTCTGCATGTAGAGGAGACAGAGCTTTGACAACTGAGGCTAAGCTTCCAGAAGTTATACAAATATGCTTTCAGAAATATATTTTCACTTAAATGATAAACTATGTTCTCAACTGAATTGATTTGCACTGTCACTGAAATAACTTTTTCGAAGGACAATACTTGTTATAATGCATTTAAAAAAAAAATGGGCTAGGAGGATTTCTTAGACGTGCAGCTTATAAGTATAGTTTAACTTTGCATAGTAGCAATACATATTTACAGGTGCCAAATTGTCAATTTATAAATATTTATCATAAGGACATGATTTTATCTTTAATTAGCCCAACTGTTAAGGACATTTCTAATGTGAGAAACGTAATTCAGTATTTTGTACCAGATGTAGCCTCTACAGCTAGTCTTTTATCTCTGCTTGTAATAAGCGGATACTTAAACCAAAAACATTATGTAAGTGATTAGAAGAGAATAACTGCAGAAGATCTGGGCTCTGAATTTAAAATAATAATTTTCTGAAGTTGCATACCTCACTTTAAAGCACCTGTGCAATATCGCCATACATTAAGTATCTGATTATTATAATAATTATAATTATTATTTCTTTGTTCATGGAAAGACCTGAATTACTAGATTGTCCTTCCTTTCCTGTCTCTCTCTAACCAGGTGAGTTATGACTCTCTGTTTGACGCTTTTACAAAAAGTATAAACATGAAAACTGGGATAGTTCCAGGTCTGATCCTGGGTTATCAACAACTGAAATATGATGTCCATCTAATAACATTGCATTGCCAAACACAGCAACCCCTAAAACATGCATGTTATACTGAAATTTTCCATAATTACACAGCAAACCTTGGGAGCGGTTGGAAACACTGAATCAGAGAGCGAGAGAGCAGAAGGAAGGAAAGACTGGTGACAGGTCAGGGGAAGAAGACTAGCAGCAGCCTGGTGGACTTACTAAAAAGGCAGACTTACTTTCTTTTTCCAGAATGAACAGTTATACCAAATTTCTAAATTAAGTGCCTTAAGGGGTTAGCCTTCTTAAACTGCAATTCATAATTAAAAAAAGTAGACTGGGATTTCATTAGCAATATTCTATGTTTTACTCCTCCAAGAATGTGTGAAGTAAACTGGGGGAAAACCAATTTCGTGTCTAATGATATGGTGAAATCGATTATTCTTCAGCAAAGCAGAGAGTCAGAAAATAAGTGGAGTCATTGCATATCTGTGCATCTATTCTACCATAATAACTGCCTGTTTGCAATCCACTGATAACATTTTGTGGTCTTACAAAGACTGTTTTCCAATTGAATAATAAAATGGAAACAGAATGCCCCCGTTACTAAGGAAACTCTGAGCCAACTTCTGATTCAGCTAATTTTTCTCAGCAGTCTGAGTTATGCTAAGCTGCTTGCTCTCTGTATTCATTTAATTAGCAAAATGTTTGATTATTGGATTGCGAATATTACCTATTGACTCATTTACTTACTGTATAAAACAGCAAGCAAAAGATCAATGTTTTAACATATTCATGAAGGAACCAAACAACACGTCATTTTGGGAGGATTTTTAGGGATGGGAATGAGGGACACAACGGGAAATGATGGAGGGATGTTGGCACAGAAAGGAGTTTGGGAATTTCTTCTGTAGAGTTGTCTTGTATTGCCGGCTTCCCATTCTGTGTTCCTCTCCCCCATCATTTGAAGCCCACCCAAGTTTCGATTAAGCCTCTGGATACACATTAGGAGAATCAGTCTGAAATATCCCTCTAAGAAACATGATAACGTAACAATGATAAATGTTACAATGATAACATTTTGCATAATTTCTTTTACCTCTTGATTAATTATATTCCCAGTACTGTATTGCCAAATGTTAGTAAACCATCTGGATGACAGAAAACTCTAGAACAGAACTGCTTTGGTTTCCACATTAATGCTTATTTACTGGGATACACCTGTATGGCAATGTCCATCTGCTAACAAGCTCTCCAGTGAACTATGTTGTGTTTTTTTTAGCCAGCAGTACGTAAGCAGTCATTTAGCTGCCCAACTTTCCAATAGCAATACTTCCCACTATATTAACACTAGCACAAAAATTAAAAAAGATATGAGGTATTCTCAGCGTGTCTCCTTAGGGGAAAAAAACCACTTGTAGATCTTGAATCTGCAAATATGTCAGTCCCCTGGAGAGCCCTCAGATAGCTGTGAATTTTGGCCCCACTGATTGGAAACAGTAGGAGATTCAGAGCTTGGAAATTAGGCTGGTTTCAGATGAGTCCGGGCTTAGCAATTATATGGTAAATGAGGAACGATATCATAAACAATTTGCATTGTTCAGTAATCCAAGTAACGTGCTCTCTTACAGATACACTGCACTCCAGTGTCATCACACAAAGCTAAGGGATTTGGTACAATATACTTGTTTAGCACATGTTCCACCTGCCCTTCATCCCAGAAGTGGCCCCTATTAGTAATGGATATGCAAAGGATACAGATACAGAGAAAACGACACTCCGATGTAGCGATGGCAGGCTGGCAGGAAATTTTGAGGGACTAGCACACCCCAGGAACATGAAAGCAATTAACAGGAAACAATGGGAACAGCATGGAGGAGTAGCTGTGTACTGTGTCTGTCTCCGTGGCACTCCAGTGTCATCACACAAAGCTAAGGGATTTGGTACAATATACTTGTTTAGCACATGTTCCACCTGCCCTTCATCCCAGAAGTGGCCCCTATTAGTAATGGATATGCAAAGGATTGATCTTAGCAGAGCAAGACTGTTTTTAACACTGAATAAATCTGGAGTACATTACACTCTTGATTTAAAATTGGCTCAGTGTGGGAGAAAACAACCTCCAAGGTAATTCTGAATTCTGTTTCCATGTTTTATGTAAAACATAAATTCTGTATTTTTTCTTCTATGGCAACACCTATCTTCCACTCCTTAGCCAGGAAAAACTCAGGTTGTCTTACATCTATCGGTACTTGTAAAATAGAATCCTTGCTATTTATTTTAAAGAGTTTTTCACTTTTAGTTTTTTACTTTTCACTCAAAGTTTTACATTTTGTTTGGTACTTTTTACAAGTGATTAGATTCAGTTGATAATTTTGACCTGCGGGGAACAATGAGGCTTATAAGCAGTATCTAAAACTCCTTGAAAACAGTACCATTTAAGTTAAATGTGTTTTGTCTGGCAGCATAGCTATTAACAATTTTAAACAAAAATTCAAAAATAGGAAAATTTGAGAAAATACCTGCTTTATGAAACTTTTCCATTATCTCTTGACGAACTGATTTTTCCAAGTTGAAATAATCGTGGTCTTCATCAGGTTTTCTCAGAAACAGAGGGATGTGCTGAAATACTATTATATGCTTGCATTTATGTTTTTCAGCGACAGCCAGTTGCTCATTGAGCCACACATCCTGGGCTTGCTTTAACTCAGGGCATTTGGAAGAATCGAAGTATAACTGAGAATTCAGCACAAGGAAGAAAACACCTCCAACCCAAAAGCTGAAGTAGTCATCTCCCCACTTCTTGCAATAATTATCTATTGTTTCTCTTGTTGGAGTATTGCCAATATCATGATTTCCACTGACGAATACCAATGGGATGTCCTGGTCAGTGTTCTTCAGAACATTCTTTAAATCTTGCTCTTGGTCCTTTCTCCATTGAGTTCCTATAGAAAAAAGCAAACACATTTTAGTGTTTATGCTATCTTTTCCTACCCTCGTTAGCTTTTGTTTATGGCAATATGCATAGTAAGAAAATATTCTATATTACATGTGATCATGATAATACGCAGGGATCCAGAATACATCTTCACTTTAATATTTTATGTCCACTCAACCCTTTCCCTCCCTTATCAAGTACTTGGCCATTTTCAGTAACTTGCCTTAGCAAGGCTCTGGATAGGAACCAACAGATAACATAGCAGTAGGTCATATAACGGTCAGTGTTTTGCACCAAAAACTGTAGCAGGCTGATTCTTTTCATCTATAGATGATGATCTGGCGAAAAAATGCAGCAACGTTGGATGGTGTAACAGCTTTACACAAGGGTAAAAACCAGGTCAACTTCTGGTTTATATTTTATGGCTGTGCAAAGGAATTAAGGTTTGGGTTTTTTTCATTACAAGAACTACTTTAACAGCAAAAATATAATTAGTATCTTGTGGCGACTTGTTTATATGATGAGACTGTTTCAATAATGAGCACGGCATTAATTTCAAAGAAAGGCAATTGTGTACTTTGCTAGTTTTTCCCGCATCTCTGTTTTTATATTAATATGCATACCCAGACAGTTACTCTTCTGGTTGTCAGAAATTTGTCCTTATCTAGGAAGGTTTATCTAATTGCTAGATTAATTTACAATCACTGGGAAAAATTTAGGAAGGATTCTTTTTAAAAAAGCAGTTATTTTGTTCTAATGACAAAGGTTTTTTTAAGTTTTCTAAAGAGTAATCTTTAATCAGAGGCCATTGATACGTTTATTACTCATGAATTAAATTGAACATTTATAAATTGTATTTTGTCCTGCAATACATAACATGTATCTAACACAGTCCCATTTCATAAATAATAGCTGCATTTTTTAAGATGAAGAAGTTGTAACAGGATTTTTACAAGAACTTTGAAATCAGTTTTATAACATACATTTGCATACAGGTCTATGCAAATCAATCAACATGTATTTTTAAATTGTGTTCTATTTTTGTAACTACACATATATATTATACATAGAAATGTATTACAGGGATTCCTGTAATGTAACTATGAGATAAAAGACTTTTTCCCTCCAAGTTTCTTCAAAATACTTATGATCAATATGTTGACAAATACTGACCCTTAGTAACAATTATTAGCGAGGATTTCAATTCCTTTTCCACCCCTATAGATACAGGCTTAAGTATCACCTTATTGCTGTTACTGGAATTCTACGGCTTTAGAAAAATACTGGGGAAAAAACCATTCATATTATGTCTAAATTATGTCTAAATGTAAAGACGGATGTGAGATTTGATATGTGGTGCATAAAGTCAAAATCCACAACTCTTGTGTTTAACTGCTGTACAGGGTAGAAAGTTACTGTAATAAAATCTTTGAGTAACTTGGGAAAATACTGGGCATATGATACCCAAGTGTAGTTTAGAAAGTAGTGGACGGCAGATCAGTTTGTGGGATATATTAATGTACCAGGACCTTGGTCAGTTTAGGCTGTCCTTCCAGTTATGGAAAATATCCTTATTAATCCTAGAAAAAACAGAGCAAATGACATCTCATGTTACTTGGAGGACCTCGATTTTAAAAAATGAAACAAAAAATTTAAATAAACCTGGCACACTTTGTTGTCCATGGGGTAAGGCACCTGGCTGAGAAAGCTGCTCTTCTGCCACTCCCTGCCTTCCATGCAAAGAGCTGCAAATTTCAAGCTATACATATGAAAATGTACGAGGGAGGGGGGCGGGGAAAAGGCGAGGGGGAAGGCTCTTTTAAGATATATGTAAACACATTACACCATGTTAATCTCCATGCTATCACTTTGGGAAATTTAGCTAACAGTTTCAGAGTATAAAGACATTTATGCATAAGTTACAGAAATAATTTGTAGAATTATGTACACTCTTCCCAGTGGTGAAATTCAGGCTCTAGAGACTAACACTTAGATTAGATTTGTCGACAGCAGGGCACTGGTTCTCTCATTTAATGCAGTCTTATTTCTATAGCAACAGAGAGACATATTCAGTGTTTTATTGCAGAAAACATCGCTCAAAATGGAAAACAAGGTCTTTGCCCAAAGAGTCTTGGAAATCATACTAAGTAAAGATTATTTTAGGACAATTGTATCTTGGCTTGACCTTTTCTTGGTGGAAGGTCAAAACAACTTCAAAAGAAGAGAAACCCAGGGAGATAAAGGTGGGAACAGGTGGAGTGATGTCTCTGTACTCTCTGGGTGTAGCGCTGGAGAGGAAGGGCTAAGACGTACACACTAACCATGAGTTGTACTACAGTAGCACACACTATTTGTGCTACAATGAGCCACACCACTATGCAGCGCCCCCCTGAAGGGCCTCCCTCTAAATTTACAACCGAGGTAAGTAATAGATAAAGAAGAGGAGATAAAGAAGTGATAAAGAAAAGAAGGAAGCCACTAGAAAACTACAGTGGTCACAGCATAAAAATACCCCCTTTATCTCTACCAGGCACAGAGCTAGCTATAATTAATTATTCCAATTATTATGAAGAACATTTTTATTTGATGACATGTATTTCTTCAGCTTAGATAGAGGTTTGTTGCAGGTGAGTAGGAAAAGAATACAATGCCAAGAGGCAATGTAAAAAAATCATTTGGGAAGTGTCAGGGTAGATGTAACTGAAATTAATTTCTGTTCTGTTTATCCTGGCATCATGTGCAGGGACATTTTTAAATCCCAGGCTACAATATTATGTCCTTATGTTAGGTTCTGTAAATACAGTCTTGCCCGGAGATAAATGACTTCACAAATTAATAGCCCATAAAGGGCAGTTTGGCTTTTATGAAAAACATGAAAGTGAGAACTGTTGCTAGTGTGGTTGCCTACAATTTTCCACAGCTTCCCAGTCTATCATTTTTGAAAGCTGAGTGATGTGAACAGGAGCATAAAGGTGCCATGTCAATGTCTCTGTTGCGGTACATCTTTCTGTTGTATGTTATATCACTATTTGCCTAAACACTTCCAATATTCTTTCCTGCATTGCTTAAAGGAGTGAAGACAACCTGCCTTCACTCACTGAAAGAGCAGATTTCAAGAAAGAAAGTACTTTTAAAGCATTTTTGCTGAAGCTGGCTTCAGTCAGCAGAATTCACAGATTATTCTGCCAAATAATCCTTTAGCTACTAATCCACAGTTACAGTTCGCTTTGGTATTCCACAGAATAGAGCACCTCTACAACAAAGTGTTGAGTTTGGTTTTTTTGATGCACTAGCTATAAAAACAACTTGAAGCACTGTTTACCCCCAAACCGTATCGCTGCAATACATGCTGACTGCAATTTTTGCATCTGAGGCAACTCTTCACTTACAGTAAAGTCCATCAACATTGTAACTTTTTCCCCAAAAGTATTCCAAATGAAAAATTAGCAAGCAATTAACAATAGCACCCATTTTTCTACTGATATGGATTAGGAGGGGGAAAAGGGGAGGTTATAGTGGTATTATTAGGTGGTACCCCCAGGCATTTCTGTGTTGGTGTTAGGAGAACTCCAAGTACTCCCCCCGCAAGGCAGGAGAAGCCTGCCAGCCCCTGCAAGGGGACACAGGTATGGTGGGAACAGCAGGGGTATTGGCCTGGATCTCCAATTCATGTCATTTTCCAAGAGATGGAAGTTCTAGTGAGGTAGTCGGACTTCTTTTAACGATCAAAGCTATTGGTCATAAATTCACAGAGAAAAAGACCGTCAGAGGTCAATTACTCAATATTACGTGATGACACTGCATTTCAGAAAACTTTCTGCTCTCCGAAGATCATCTGAGAAGTCACTTTCAGGGATCTGGCTGGCACAAGCTGACTCGGCCGCAGGGCAGAACTGCTGCAGCTCGACATGTGATACTGATGTTGCTGCTGTTTCTAAACCTCCTTTTGGGGGTGGGTTTTCTCAGGAGCCAGAACAGTACCTCTTGTTTACCTGTTCTGCAAATCTTGACACAGACAGTACTGTGTCATGGTTTACTACAGGAAAGGCTATAGACATAAAAAAAATGTGGACCTAACATCTGACTTCAAAAGTTTGGCAAGGGGGGCCCTAACTGAGCCAGAGTACATATTTGCATTGCCACTGATGCTTTGCACTAAGTTACAGTGGTCTCTGTCTCTGCAACATCTTCGCTCAGCTTAGGCTGAGGACCAGCGCAGGCACTTTTAGGATGAAGCTACCGAAGATGTCTTCAGCCAATTTAACAACATGTAAAAATGTAACACAATCATTTCCTGGATTTTTACATTAGTTGGTCTCAGTATTTCAATGCATCTTAAAAGTGTCCCAAACTTAGGGGAGTTGCAAACACATCATTTTTAAAGGAAAGCACAAATTTTCAGTTTGAAAAAGAAGACAGTTAAAAAGAAAATTGTTTAACTACGAGCTTTTATGCGAGCAACACTCTTGAAAAGCCCTGATATGACAACTGCAATCTGCCTAACATTTAACCCAAGAGACTGATTATCAAAGAACAGGTAAGAGCTAAATTACAGATTAAAATACTATATAAAATATCAAATAGAAATAGTAATTAAATCTGATAAAAGCAAAATAAAAAATGTCGAAACACCACCAATGAAAATGGAATTTATAAAACATTGGGCCCATTCCTTCTGTAATTTATTATGATATCAGGAGGATTACTGCGACATCAAACATCAAAGGACAAGTAATTCTTGTTGGAAGCAATCACATGATTTTTATAAACAAACAGATTTGTGTATTTTTCTGGGCCTTACAGTGTATCACAATTATTTTAATCAAAGAGTCTAATTATTTTGGGCATTTTTCTGTTCTTGAGATGTTTGCGGGTTTTTTTGGTTTTCATGACTGTCTGCAGTTGCTCTATTCCTTCTGCATGCCATTTAGAGGACTCTCCCTAGTAGTATTCCCTAACTTTCTAGAGAAGAGAAGAGGGGAGTCCAAGGCTATATTCACAGCATGT